GCTGAATTCGGCGCCGGACAGGTACGTAATTATTATTATTTTTTTGTTTTATACGGCAGGTCAACACTCTTAAAGGGTTCATGTCATTATTATTCGACAATTTACGCTAGTTGCCGACTATCTAACGCAATTCTCCACTTTTCTTATCTAGGACTTGGGACTGGTAATGATAGTGTTAAAGATTTTATCGATTAGTTTAATTATTTTAAATTGCAGATAGATATGCCCTTTGGAAGCAACCCAGAAGGAACTTATATCTATGTGCAGTAGCTGTAACTTTCTTGATATAAGCTCGCTTCCGGTCTTTGAGAAATCAACATGCCTTTGTTTCTCTATTGCACAATATTTACAAAAGATTGAAAAAAAAAATTTGGAGTAAGGACTATTTAGATATTTTATGCTCATATGATCTATCTTTGGTACCACAAATAAGCTTTACCCAATTTTTACCTTCGTGGTAGAATAGAGATTGTAGTCTTGCTGCACAAAATAATCATCAAGGTTCTTTTTTATTACTTTTTTAAGCTTCAACTTTGAAAGTGAGATGTCATCCTTCTACCACTAATAGTCTGATGGATATTATGTTTGTCATTAAGCCAGGGATGTGCTTAACTTTGTTAAGCCTCTTAAGTATTGTAATTAAGTTTCTTAATGATTGCATTTATAATGCCCACAATGCTCAAAGGAACATCATAAAAAAGGATCACTTTATAATAATCACGTCCATAATAATTTTACATTAAGTTTTCATTTTGGACAGCTTTACTATTTATTAAAACAACTTTCTAATGCAGAAATATTTTAAGTAAAATTTTCTATTAAAATGCTGCTATGAAAAGAAATAAGATAGATGCCCCAAATGAAATCTAAATCTATATTAAAAAAGCATGAAATACACTAGAGTCTATATCCATAACTCCATTAATTTATTTTGAATTTTTTCCGTCATGACATTCATCCTTTCTTCATTTTGCTTAGTCTCTTGTTCACTCCTCTTCTTCCTACATTCTTTTATTATGTAGTTAAGTTTGTCAAAATTCCAACATCCACTCTAGCAATCTTGAGGTTTGATTATATTGTAATTTGATTAATAGTTCTCAAAATGGAATTGTGAGTTATCTTTCCCTTTGTTGTTGCTCTAATGCTCTAATAGTTAACATTTAAAACATAAGATGATGCATCTTCAACTTTCTTACACCAAATTCGATCCAATCCAAGACCAAATGAATAAAAATCGAGGGCTTGAAGCATGTTTGGAAGCTTCAAATTATAAATAGGATGATCAAATGATTTTTAAATATGACATGCTTATAGTCAAATTTAGCGGCTCGACGAGACGAATCCAATGAGCCCAAGTTCGCCGAATTCTGACATCATTAAGACACGTAAATGCTCGATAAACGATCTATGATTAGCGGAATTAATATCGATTATCCATAAAAAATGCTCCCAACATGCTCTTGATCTTCTCTATATTTACTAGTCATGTCAGTTCCAAAAAACTATAAATAAACCTTTCATTTTTCACAAAAGGAGTGAAAACTCAGCACCGGTAGGTGTAAAATTTTGTCGCACCCTATAACTTGTTGATTTCAATCTTTTTGCTCGTCATGCTTAGCTCCAAAAATTTTTATATTAAAAATTTAATACAAATTTTTAAGATAATAATGAAATTTTGAGGAAAAATCAAATGAAAATGAGATAGTAAATTCAATCAACATTACAAATATAAAATAAAATCTAAATCTAATGTGATTTGATGAGATCCTCCAACGTCCCTATCACATATAGATTGAATAATTCAATAGGATTTAAGATGGATACATGAACAGATTATATTTTTCAAATTTTGAGATAATTACAAATTTATAAATATCAATGACTGAAAAAGAATAGGGTCATATACCATAAAAATGAAATATACTAAAAGTCTATCTTTATCTCATTCTAAGGAACCATTTATAATGATTTCCTATTATAATAAAATTAAATACAAGATTTTTAAAATCTTTTAAAGTCAATAAAAAATTTCACAACCTACAATAATAATAATAATAATCATAAATAGAAAATCTCAACCATATTTTGTAAAAAATATAATGGCATAACTTTTAACTCTTATGATTTTAATAATACCATTGGGCAACATTTCCATTGATATAAAGTCAGACTACTATTTAAACAATATTTTAAATATTTTTTGAAAATTTCTTATGAAGGAATATACCTATGTTTTTTTTTTTTTTTTCTAAATGATGAAATATTTTAAGCTCCTACATTTCGTTAGATCACTAAAAACCAAATCACATAACACATCCAATTAAGAAATGATTACTATTGTAAAGCCCATACATCTAAATAATCCCTCTATAAGAGTTTTTCAGGTTACATAAAGACTCGATATTATGTACATATCCCTCTACTTTCTAAAACTACCAAAGTATATTTTTTTTTATTTTTTATTTTTTGTTTTTGAGGAATTCAATGAAACAGATGTTACTCTCACCCGCTGGTGTTCGGTGTTGTCCCATTGCTCACCCATCCTGTTGTTACAGAATTTGGCGAGTAAGGTGGGGAGCTCTTCAACAACTGAGCTTCCTCCTTCAACGTTGCATTTACATCTTCAAAACTTTCATTCTTACGGCCACCGTTCTCTATTCCTATTAAAACCTCAAGGACATCCTTAATGCTAGGCCTCATCTCCCTATCAGTCTGCAAGCACTGGAATGCCAGTTCCGCCACCTGGTTGATCATCCTATTTATGTGGCAATCCGACTCATAACCCAGCTTTTTATCCACAAATTCATGCAACTCCTGCCTTTGGATCTTGTTGATTGCCATTCTTGCCAAGTTGATTTCATTCCTCTCCCGGCTGATATCAACAGCAGGCTTTGATGATATGAACTCCATTAGTACTACTCCAAAGCTGTACACATCGCTCTTGTCTGTGAGCTGATAGCACTGATGGTACTCGGGATCAACATACCCTGGTGTGCCTTGGGGAGCTGTAGAAACATGTGTGGCGTCGAGTGGGAAGAGCCTTGAGAGGCCAAAGTCAGCAACTTTGACATGAAAGTTGTTGTCAAGGAGGAGATTGTTGGTCTTGATGTCGCGGTGAATGATCTGTGGTTCAACAGAGTGGAGATAATTGAGGGCATCGGCGGTTTCAATTGCGATGCTCAGTCTTACATGCCATGGCATGAATGCTTCAGAGGCGCGTGCGCCGTGGAGGTGGTCGGCAACTGTTCCGTTCGGCACGAATTCATACACGAGGAGGAGCTCACGGCTATGTCTAGAGGTGCAGCCATAGAGGCTGACGAGATTCTGGTGGCGCAGGAGTGACAGGATATTGACTTCATTAAGAAACTGCTCGACGCGCTTATAGTTGTTCTCGTAGAGGCGCTTCACTGCAACTACTCGACCATCTCGCAGCTTGCCTGTAATGTGAATTGGAGCAGTTTAAGAGAACGGTTTCTTAAATAGTTGGTTTAAGAGCCAGTTAAGAGAATGAAGTACCTTTATATACTGTGCCAAAGCCGCCATCACCAAGTTCTTTGGAGGAATCAAAGCCATTTGTGGCTTCATAAAGATCATCATATTTGAAGATGGGAGCATGTAGAGAGCAACCAAGCTCAGGGTCTGATTTGGAGAACGGCTGAAAAGAAACAATTCTATCGATAGTGGAGCTAGAGCGTCTCTTTTTCTTTTTCCTTGCATACAGGATAAAACAGAAGGAGCAGACTATGGCCGCACACAAGCCACCGGCTACGCTAGTACCTGCTAAGCGAAAACATAATGAACTACCGGTCGTTAAATCTAACAAAGCCGTATATATAACTTCAAACAATTTAAAAAACTCCACATTAAAAATTGTCGGTATCTCCTGATACAGTTGGAGATTCATTGAAAAAAATTATGATCCTTTCAATTGATAATAAAGCAATAGTTAGGCAAATAAGGGTATTTTGATTAGTTTCACATTTAATAATTGAAAAATATGTTGGTGTAGAAATATCAAATGAATGACCCTCAATAATAATAAGCTTAAGTTTTTGAACCCCAGTGTATCCGTCTCAACTTTAATCCTATTTGATCTACACTCCAGTAATGACAATCTGAAAAAAAATTGATTGAGCATGCCAATAATTTTAAAGAGATTTAAGAGAGCTAAAGATTTTTTTTTTCTTACATCTAAAGATCTTACCATTGAAATCTAAATGAGAAGGGAATGGTGATTCTCCTCTAAGAAAAAAATATATACATATATGACTCACTAACAATAACCGTTTTAGATAGCTACTACCTCCATCCCATCAAAATCAGTAAATAAAGAGAGATGAAATGTAATATATCATTATGATCAGAGAACAAGAAGGTTGCGAGTACAAGATGGCGGGAGATTATTTTGCTCACCTATTATAAGTCCTTGGTTTTGTTTCTTGGTTGCTGCAAAAAAAAAAAAAAAAGGCCAACATTAGAAGGGGTCAGTAAAGAATAAGAAAATTCGACAAACAAAGTTTATAATTGAGATAAAGATAGACTTTTATTCCTTTTAAGAGTAGAATCATTACTCTTTATATATATATATATATATATAGTCTTCAAAATCACATCATTCATTGTAATCTCTAATATAAGAATTATATGTGAATTGGTTTCATTAATTTTTATGATGATTTAATCATTCACAAAGTGTGCTAAAAATACAAAGATAATCGAACGACATATAGAAACCCTTTTAAAGATCTAGTTTTATACATGATTTGTATTTGATTATAATTAATTTAAAGTCTATAAAATTATTTTTATACAAACAAAGCAATATATTGAGAAAATTTTGATGCTTTACTTTGATTATCAAAGGATCTTTGAAATTGGTAAAATCATGTAGTCATTAGGTTTAATGATGATAAATGGAATGAATGATTTGTATCTCAGATTTTGTAGTTCTGATATAAAAAAATAAATAAGAGAAGAATGATAGTTCTCCTTATAAGAGAAAATCCCATCCCTTCAAAATAAATTCATACAAGATGATGCTGGATTTAGTAAGTGGGAAATCCCTCTAAAAATCATGGACACTTATAAACATTTGGTTAATATACTAATAAGAACAAAAAACATATAAATCTATCTCCCAATTAGTTCAAACATACTACTCTTTGGTTTCTCCATCAAAAAAGGAAAAAAAAAAAGTTAAATAGGAACTTTTTGTTATTTGCACTCTATGCCATCCAAGAATATAAGTTGCAGCTCATTACTTTCATATGGAATATGCATTAAACATACAGTCAATAAAAATAATGATGATGATGATGGTTAGTAAAATATTAATTAAGGAAACATATTTCTCCAGCAAGAAAGATGCCACATTCAAAATATTATTTCACATCAAAGAATGAGAGGAATATGAAAGTTTCATAGCTTATGATTGTTGAAACATGAGAAACATCGGATAAACAGATACACATATATATCACAGACAAACTAAGAACACTCTATTTCAAAGCGCTTGACTGAGTGCTGAGCCGTCACCTCATCATTTTTTTTTAGTTCTTTTGGAGTGAACCAAAAACTTCATACCTTTCCCAAAGCATATGGGAAATCACAAATTACAATAAGGTTATTAATAGCTAGGCACAGATCACCTTGCAATTAGCAGGAGAAAAAATAAAGTAACCAATCCTATTTGTATATTATTGTAATCTATTTGTTTAGAGCGCAGATCACCTTAATATTATTAAGGCATGTTTTCTTGTGTTTTATTTTACTTTAGTTTTCTATTTTATTTTATTTTTGTTTTCATTTAAAACAGAAATATATTTAATGTGTGTTTTTTCCTGTCTTTACTACAGATTTCGGAAACAACTGAAAAATACCAAATGTGG